CTCATTTTATAACGTTTCATAATAAAGCTGCAAAGTTTAAACCCACATATAAAGCAACACACACACGCGTGTGTGTGCAAACACGCACACACGTTGTTATATATGTCTGATTAAATACTTTTAATGTATGATATATGTATGGGTAAAAGTGCTCATTATTAGACAAGGAGCGTGTGTAAAAATAAGTGAGATCGAAGATTGTGTTCAAGCATGATACAGACTGTCGCCGCTCAGTGCTCATTCTCATATATTGTATACATAAAAAAGGTGTGGGTTTGTTTCTGTCTTTGTATAGGTTCTCTGCTCCAGGCAATCGAAAACTGAAAAAGGTAGAAAAACAATGAAATTAAATATATCAGGATAGTTTAAAAATGCATGCATATCGAACTCTAAAAAATATGGAATTTTATTCAATAAATATCGACCGACAGCTACGAAGATGTCCAAGATGCGGACTTTAAAGTTACTGCTATATATATATATATATATATATATATATATATATATATATATATATATATATATATATATATTCTGATTCGCTATTTCACAGTACATCAGTGTGGCTAGACATCTGATTAATTCAAGTTGGGATCAAAACTCAACTGATTTGGCATCAGTTAGAGACTCTACACCTAAAATATCGGTGCACGGCAGAGAAGGAGAATCTTTTAACGTATTATAACCAAGATGTATATAATCGCTAAGCCAGCAGCCAGAGCGCTCATTTCTGACGAAGAGCTATGCGGTAAACAGCTGTTAAAAAATCCCTTTATCCATAGTGCTCATTCCTCGAACGAGATATATATATATATATATATATATATATATATATATATATATATATATATATATATATAAATTAAAACAGGCTCAAACGCTAATATTCCATGGCTATAATTTATTACATTGGAATCGTAATCAGGATTCAATTGTTCAGACCTGCAAATGCAAAAAAAAATTTGTAAAATATAACTTCAGGTATAAAAAACAATATTTTAGTGAGAGTGTATGTGTGGGAGTGGGAAACAAGCGTGAGAGGGAAGTGTATGAAAGCTCTAGAGAGAGGTGTAACAGAAGAAAGAAGAACCGGAAGGCCTAAAGGTGAAGGGGGGGGTTACAATTTAACAGAGAGAATCTTTAAAGAGAGGAGTTAAATAACGGTTTAAATGAGTGAGATACAGATAAATATGAATTATTTTTCGATGCATAATTCGCTACTGAATCGCTGACCTAAATTAAAATTAAAAACCAGACACCGGAAACGTGTGTATACATTTGTGGTGACACTACGCACAATAAGAAAAAACGATATCATCTAAACTTAAAATCCAGAAGATGAGAGAGGGAAAAAAAGATGGTGGGGGCAAAGTAAAAACGAAGTGCATTTATAATACAAACGATGTGTATTCACGAAAATTTGACAAAGCAAATAATATAAACTACAGGTTAAAAATTTAACATAAACATACAAAATTTAACTAATATTTAATCGAGTAAGGACCTACTATTTCTATGCCCCAAACCACATATGTAGATACACACATACACAACAACATATCTATATCTACTTGCACATACATACATATACGTGTGCATATATATATATATATATATATATATATATATATATATATACATAGACTCATGCATACATATACACATACACATAAATACACATAGACATACACACATGTACACATAAACATATCTACATAAAACCTAACACACACATCCATACATATACATACACACACTCATCTAAACAAATATACAACGTATCTCCTTATCTATACATATACAAATACATATAAGAAATTAACTGATTTTGTATATCAGTTATTTAGGAAAACTTTTTACCTACCTATTCACCTACACATATACCAAAACATGACTAAAGTTTGTTAACATAAATTAAATGATCAAAAAATATATAGAGCACCACATAAACACAGACAATGATATATATAGGTAATCATAAGTTTAATTCCATTTAAATGTCACGTCCGATGTTAGTGATCCAAGATTGAACTGTTATAGGTTGCAACACGTTATAAAACCGTGTTTATGTTTTAAAGCGTTTTTATGTCTACATTTGGAAACGATCTCACTACGAAGATTCAGCAACTCATCTTGATTTTTATCTTTAATAATAATTTTGTTTTTAAATTACACCGATCGTGGAAGTTATTGGGGGTTCTAGCTCTTGAAAAAAATCTCCATTCCAAATGCGGGGTTAGTCCCTTAACCACCAGATCCCAGAAGTCTTTGGAAAAGGAAGTTTGATTTTCAAGGTATCGATATTTAAAAGAGCGTCTATAGTTGTATAGACGCTGCTTCCAATTATCAGCGGATATACCTATGTATCTTTTTTTCTGGTTGATATTTTCTCCGGGGAAGATTATTGCTTCATATATTACATTCTCATGCATACATTTTCCCCCGAGTAGACAATTAGCCCTACTCGTACAAATGCAGGTGGGGATCTTATTGAAATGTATTAACTCCGACAATTATTTTAATATATTTTCCATGTATATGTTATTTTTATAGATATATTACAGATATTTACTTAAATAAATTATATCCGTAAAAATAAAATACGATATATATATATATATATATATATATATATATAATAAAAACAGACCACTTTAAGGTTCCATGTAATAAATTATTTCACCACAGCCCTTTTAAAGGACTGCGGATCATCAGACTTTACTTCCAAACAAGAAATGAAAAGAAAATTTACACATTTTGACGGGCCGTATTAAACACTAGCAGCATGGCCCGGCGTTGCCCGTGCTTGATTAAAAAATCGTACGACTCATACAGCAATCGCTTTCACTTGCCCTTCCTTGCCTTTAAAGGAGTGCCCTTTGTCGTGCTGATGTTGCTACATGCCTTAATTCTTGCCTATCTCACACTGCGAATTTTTTCTAAGCTCTATACTAAACATTAAATCTGTTACGAAATAAAGAACTAAACAAAATTAACACAAAACGATCAGCTTTAAAAAAGGACTCGTAACTGGAAAAACCGAATGAAAAAAACAATGTTAACAACAAATACTTTTTCACACCCAACCCAGTTTCCTGAAATATTGAGATTGGTCATAATAATGGGGGGGGGCGTTGTTGTTGCCCTTGTTTTGTTAACCCGATACTTTGGAAAACATAATTGATCCGATTTTAAGTTCAAATAAAAAGAGCTCAAATGTGTTTAACAACGCGAAGTCAACTGCACAGAGTCCAAAAGGAGGTGAAAAGCTTAGACGTCTACGGGCCGCGTAGTGCAGGCGAGACATTCAACTCAAACCCCTCAAAATCCATATCACCTGTGAGTTAATCGGTTTTTTTACAAAGTTTGAGTCCCAAATGAAACATCGGGCTCCAGCATGACAAAATGATGTAAATTGAAAAATCGGATCTGGGATGCGGCCTGGGAGAAAGAACAAAGTTTAAAGAAGTGGGAAATGGACTGCTGAGGGCATGGTCAACACGGTGGTTTGTATCGATTTTTGAGTCACGACGGGGTCACACGGCATTCTATGCAAGGCACCTCTAACTGGCTGTCGTCTTCCAAAAGGCTGAGACGGAGGCACCTCATGAAAAGTGTCACATAAAACTCCATTAAACGTCCGTAAGTTATTGTAGCTCGTTGGACCACTAACTTCGTGCAAAAGCAGTCGCAAGTAAAAACATTCCTGTCGCGATGGGGGAACCGTGAATACCCTTCCGAGTCTGGCGTCTTTTTTGACGCCCGGATAGCCCTCGACGCACTTCCGGCGAGCACAGGTTTTCTTTTTTGCCCACACGTAGTATGAAGGCACGTCTGGGTACAGTAGAGTCCTAGAAAACTTGTCCTGTCGACAAAATTTGAAGAACGCTGTATGCGATGTGCCTTTGGTGTATTCGCAGAAAAATAAAGAAGTTCGTCGTTTTCTAGGTGTACAGCAAGCTGGACGATTGCTGGGAAGCATTCGTGGTTAGGGAAGCTGAATATGTGCCAAAGGCCCTCTGTGCTGCTAATGACGCGCCCTGCAAGGAAGTCCTGGATTTCGTCTACGGAACCTTCCTGCCTAATACCAAACGTTGCAGCATCAGTCCCTTTGTTGATGTACTTGCATACATACTTGATGGAGCGAACAGAATGGCAATATTCGACATTGATGTGCGCATTGGACGCTTTTGTTAGCAAGGGACAGTATGGCACTACCCATCTGTTATCCACTTGGTGGCCCTTTACCACGACTGTAAATCCTCCTTCGCCGGTACACTGGATAACCATCGCTCCCTGTAATGGTTTCGCTCACGAAATCTCGTGGGTACTGCAGGGTGCATTTGCCGTCGCTGTTGTGACAGCTTGTCACTATTTCGTACAATTCAGGGTCAGGCGACGGATCAGGAATTTCAGCAGAAATAAGATGATCGATTTCTGTAGCCTCAATCATGTCGCACAGCCAAATTGTTATATGTGTGTGAGGCAGGCCGCGTTTCTGTCACTCAATAGTGTGCATACGACAGCAAACAGCCCCAAATACCTGGCCCTTTGGAATTGCATCCATTAGCTTTCCCAACTTTAGATGGTACACGCGCGCAATTTTTGGTTACACGTTAAAGTTATGAATAGGTCTGGTCAGCCGTACTTACGAATGTATGTCATCGCGTCTTGCGTCCTCGCGTGCATGTATCGTGGACTGCCTGTGAACGTTGCAGGTAGTATGCAAATCTTGCCCATATTGCGTGGATCAGCGCCATTTCGTAAAGCATCACGAAAGTGAATGTAAGAGTCGCAGCGCAACTTGGTCTGATTCAATCTGATGCAACAGAGTCTTTCGGATTCCATCTTAGCAGCCATGTCTACTATTAATTGATGAAATGTTTGCGGGCTTCGATGAAAATGATTGAATGCACCCTCATGTACCATCAATAGGTAGGCGTAGAAAGCCCTGCAAGACACTGTTGAAGGTATTCAAAGGGGGCGTGACTTGTTATTGATTAGTGTAGCCTAATAAAAACATTCAAGTAAAAACATTCCTGTCGCGATGGGGGAACCGTGAATACCCTTCCGAGTCTGGCGTCTTTTTGACGCCCGGATAGCCCTCGACGCACTTCCGGCGAGCACAGGTTTTTCTTTTTGCCCACACGTAGTATGAAGGCACGTCTGGGTACAGTAGAGTCCTGAAAACTTGTCCTGTCGACAAAATTTGAAGAACGCTGTATGCGATGTGCCTTTGGTGTATTCGCAGAAAAATAAAGAAGTTCGTCGTTTTCTAGGTGCACAGCAAGCTGGACGATTGCTGGGAAGCATTCGTGGTTAGGGAAGCTGAATATGTGCCAAAGGCCCTCTGTGCTGCTAATGACGCGCCCTGCAAGGAAGTCCTGGATTTCGTCTACGGAACCTTCCTGCCTAATACCAAACGTTGCAGCATCAGTCCCTTTGTTGATGTACTTGCATACATACTTGATGGAGCGAACAGAATGGCAATATTCGACATTGATGTGCGAATTGGACGCTTTTGTTAGCAAGGGACAGTATGGCACTACCCATCTGTTATCCACTTGGTGGCCCTTTACCACGACTGTAAATCCTCCTTCGCCGGTACACTGGATAACCATCGCTCCCTGTAATGGTTTCGCTCACGAAATCTCGTGGGTACTGCAGGGTGCATTTGCCGTCGCTGTTGTGACAGCTTGTCACTATTTCGTACAATTTCAGCAGAAATAAGATGATCGATTTCTGTAGCCTCAATCATGTCGCACAGCCAAATTGTTATATGTGTGTGAGGCAGGCCGCGTTTCTGTCACTCAATAGTGTGCATACGACAGCAAACAGCCCCAAATACCTGGTGCATCCATTAGCTTTCCCAACTTTAGATGGTACACGCGCGCAATTTTGGTTACACGTTAAAGTTATGAATAGGTCTGGTCAGCCGTACTTACGAATGTATGTCATCGCGTCTTGCGTCCTCGCGTGCATGTATCGTGGACTGCCTGTGAACGTTGCAGGTAGTATGCAAATCTTGCCCATATTGCGTGGATCAGCGCCATTTCGTAAAGCATCACGAAAGTGAATGTAAGAGTCGCAGCGTTTGATTCAATCTGATGCAACAGAGTCTTTCGGATTCCATCTTAGCAGCCATGTCTACTATTAATTGATGTAAAGTTTGCGGGCTTCGATGAAAATGATTGAATGCACCCTCATGTACCATCAATAGGTAGGCGTAGAAAGCCCTGCAAGACACTGTTGAAGGTATTCAAAGGGGGCGTGACTTGTTATTGATTAGTGTAGCCTGGACAATGGCCATGACGTAGACCAATGAATGAGGTCACGCAAAATGGAAGTTGCTAGCGCGCATTCACGCACGCGCGCATTCACGCACGCGCGCATTCACGCACGCGCGCATGATTTGTCAAGCGCAAGGCTTTGCCGTAAACGGGGTCAAGCTGCCTGCTTCATATGCAGCATGGCTCTAAAGCAAGACATGCCGGCGGCGATGAGAATGCAAGGAGCTGCAATGAAGCGTTTGCTCGTTTGGTTTGTGCGACAACAAAAAGCCGTTAAACGTTTGCCGGCATTAGCTTTGAAATGGATTGGGAGGAATCCCTGATGTTTTAGCGCAAAAACTCTTCGTCAGGTCAGGGATGCGGCCTAGGCTAGGGGAAAAGGTTTAATGAATTGGAAAATGGACTGCTGAGGGCGGAACCATTTTCACTAAACACGTATGCAGGTTTTTTTCAGTAAAGATACGAATAAAGGAAGTGCTTATTTTGGTAAGATGCGACGATTAAAGCAAAAGTGTTGACAAAGTCGAATATGTCATTTGTGGCTCAAAGTCAGACCGGGTAGCAGGGATAAAAAGCACCCATTCCAGAATTTGAGGTCAAATGTTTTCTTCCACGCCACTGGACGCACTGACCTGTTTCTTCCCGCGCATAGCGTGACCTTAGATTAATCAGCATTTAGGAAATACCCAAACGTAAAAACATTTTTAAGGGTTGAACGATAGTCAATTTTCACTCTGTTTGGGGGGGGGGCGCTCAGAGTTGAAACTTCACATGCTGACTCCCAATGGCCTCCTCATAAATCCGGTCGGTTTTCGCTAAAAACAGACATGGGGTTCAGGCGCAATCTGGGCGTATCGGTTTTTGTGGTTTTATCGATTTTCTGCGCTGTTTAGGTGTCCGTGGTCATGAAACTTCTGGACAACACTTCTAATGGTAGACTCTAAGAGGGTGTCAAATTTGGTTGAAATGCGATCATTCCTTCTGTAAGCAGTCGATTATCGATTTTTTCGATTATCGATTTTTTCGGAACCTGAGTCCGAACTCAAAAATCGGGCTCCGTCATGTCCTTACGGCAGCCATTTGCAAACTTGTGGTGAAAATCGCATCGAAATCGGATGAGAAATGCGGCCTGGGCGAGGTAACAATGCCCACGACAGACACACACACAGACAACATGAGAAATATAGATAGTAGATAGATAGATATGTAAATTAACGAAGTGAGGTGGAAGAGAGAAGACATGAGTGAGGTAGCAGATACCGTTTAAATGCGTCAATATCTGCTAACTCACTCATGTCTTCTCTCTCCCCACTCACTTCCTCACTTCGTTAATTTACATATGCTTAATACGGCCCATCAAAAATGTGTAAATTTCTTTTCATTTTTCGTTTCAACCTTTGGAAGTAAAGTTTGATGATCCACAGTCCTTTAAAAGGGCTGTGGTGAAATAATTTATTACATGTAACCTTAAAGTAGTCTGTTTTTATTTAAATTATTTGCTCTGGATTTACATTGAGCTCTCTGGATTTTATCCTCCTTAGGTTTACCCATACGGATTACCTATTTTGTATAAACTAACTAACTAACTAACTAAATAACTAACTAAATATATATATATATATATATATATAGTGGACTCTCTCGTAGAGAGCTCAGTAAAATTAGGGGTTGCTCAACTACTATGGACACACAGATGTTTTACACAGATGGAATGTGTCATTGATCCATCTTGCACTCGTGGTTGAAAATCAATTGTGACATGTTAACGCGAGGGGACAAGGCGATCTTTACAGCGTGAGACAAACTCAAAGTGGCTGATTAGATCACCATTGAGAGGAACATTATGCTGCCAACTTGCTTTAATATTTACACGCTATTGATCCCGATGTTCAAATCGACCTCGCTCAAACATTTTTATAGATGAGACGCATGGTATGTACCAGCATTTTCGCTCTAATATTTTGTTTTCGCAAGTAGAAAAGGGAATGCTGTGCTGCGTAGCTTCTGATTGTCTTTGAGTATCTGTTTACACACATACACTCACACAGGCACACACACATATATATACGTATATAAATATATAAACGTGTCTGTGTGAATGTTGCATTGCTTCAAACCCCTCTATATAAAACTAGTTTCTTAGATAAACCATTCTTCACGTAAGCTATTTACTATTTTGTGATATGATGTTACACAACGTTAGTCTTACGCACACACACACACACACACATATATATATATATATATATATATATATATATATATATATATATATATATATAATATTATAAATATTTAAAAAAAAAATATTTTACGTCGCTATACAGAAATTACCCGTTTCAAAAAACAGAAGCTAAAACTTCAAATAAACCAAAATACTGATGAATTTCGGATGATCAAACTGACGGTTCTTTCCTATTTTATCAATATATATATATATATATATATATATATATATATATATATATATATATATATATATGTATGTATGTATGTATGTATGTATGTATACTGGATGTAACGGCATAATTGTCCATTCTACAAAATGTTTAATAGCTGAAAAAACAATAAAATGTGTTTCTTTCACCAGGATTTCAGATAAGACTTTCAGCCAAGTTGACACCAATTGTCGTAAGGATCACTGAAAACACGCTTTGATTTATTCAGTTAGAAAGAGAATAGGTTAAAATAGTTTAGTGTCACAAAAAATATTATTACAACTGGATCAGGTGGTCAAAACAGGAAGAGGAATCGTCATTACAACTTAGAGCTAAAGAGATCAATTAGAAAAGATCCAACTCAATCCATAATATGATTGGCACGTGATAGAGGAGTTTCAGCTTTGACAATCGAAAGGGCAGTGAAAAAAGAATTTAAAATGAATCCTACAGTTAACCTGTAAGGCACCTTGTTATTCCATGGTAGAATATTAGAAGGTTAGAGAGGGCGAAGATCATCTAGAATAAGGTGGAAAATGATCCTGGAATAATATAAATGTATTTTGATTTTATTTCAATCTTTAGCTATAATTAATTAATGATGGACATGCCATTTTCGCTTATGATCGATTTAAGAAACGATTTTTCTTTTAATTTTTGAGAGTAATTACACATTCTTATTTTTCAAAGTTTAGTCCAATAGTGTTATGAAAATCAAGGAAATTTCCAGTAAGATATCTTGAATCATTTCTAAGATACAACGGTTCAAAGTTTAATCTAAAAATTGTACAATTTTGCTGTTAAACGCGGTATATATATATATATATATATATATATATATATATATATATATATATCAAGGCTTATATCTGAACATTGAAATATGAGCAATAAAAACAACTAAACCGTGAATAACGTTATATACAAACAAAAAACGCTATAACATCAAATACTAAATATCTTTACGCATCCCAACAACTGCTTCTGCTTACAGTGAGATCTTCCGAAGGACTTGTCTTAATTCGATAACCATCAAGTGATAATTAGTATTACCGTTACTCACCACGGAAAACATGTCCGGGCTTCAAAACGTTTTTTTAATTAAATTTTTCAGGTTTCGCTGAACTTGAAAAATTGACGCACTTATATAAATTGTCCACATTTTATTTGCGAATATTGGTGATTATGTGTTATTTGATACGTGCCTCCAACAATTAATTGGTTCTGCCTATATATTCAGCATCAGACCGATATCTGAATTTGAATTACAGAAATAATATGGTGGGTAAGTATAACATGCTTCTCGGATCAGTATTTACATAGATCAGGTACGAATAATAGTAAATGGATTGGCGGTGGATTAACACCTTACACCAACTGAAATTTGCTTGCCAAACGCGCCCTTTCATTTACTGTAAATTGATGAAATAATCCGACATGAAACACAATACCATTCACCAAGGATTCACCATTTTTTAAAAAATATTTTTAATGAAAAGCACTGATGATTTTGACCTCTGGTGCAGTTCTGATTGTCTAAGAACATTCACAAAACAATGTCGTCCGCCTCGCTAGTCGATTGATATATATATCATATCCACCGTCAAGAATAAATGGTAGGGTTGGGTAGTATAATTACAATGGGCATTGAAATATTTCACATATAAAAATAGGCATTCGATTCAGTGAGTTCTTTGAGAAGGCAGGTTCTGGAAGATTTATTAATGGTTTTCGAAACACCTGATTTTCTCCCGAGTTAATTTCGTTGATGAATGTTCTTGAAATGAATAAAAAATTAAACTATATTCACTTGTGAAATAAATCATTGGAAGTTTTCAGTTTACACATTTTTATGTTTTCGAAAATCGTGATCATGTAGCGTCTGATGTAGCG